TCTTAACTAGCTGCGACCCGTGTTGGTACATTTTAGTGTGATAATTGATATATAATTAATTTTCGTCGAGATTTTATTTATTTATATAAAAAGAATCATAATAGAATTNATTGATATATAATTAATTTTCGTCGAGATTTTATTTATTTATATAAAAAGAATCATAATAGAATTTTCATATGCGAATTAGCATAATTTAAGAAAGAGTTTCAAACTTAACACTTCGACTATCGACAATCTTTACATAAGCTGTCTAAAAAAGTAAGTAAATTTGTATTACACCAATTATTTGGAATTAAATTGGACTCTACAACTCAAATAGAACCTCATGAATTGACCAAATATCCAAACTTGGTCAATATACTCACCAAATACATCACTTTTACACCTTCTTTTTGAGTTACAACAATTTAGACAAATATATCAGTGAATTTTACAAAATAAATCCATATTTATCCAAATAATATTATAGCAGTTATTAATTCATATATTTAATTTCAACAATTAAGACCTAAAAATTCAATATAATATAGATTTTACAAAATCAGAGTATGAAAATTTGAATATTTCAATTAAGATTTTATTTGTAAATTATTTAAAATATAAAAATTACATACAATTTTTAATATTATTAAAATTTTTAATTTAAAATTAATTAACTGATAATCGTAACATTTTCCGGTTATGTAGAACATACAGAACGGGTTTTACTTATCAGATGATAATGTTAGTCCTTTATATTATATCATTGTTATTAAAAATTTTAATATATATAACAGCAACTGTTATTTTGAAAAGTAACAATAACAGTCTGTAACAATTATCAAAATTGACTAAACATCATGATAAATTTCGAAAATACCTATATTAACACTGTCACCCTGAGATGAACAGTGGGCTTAAGGCTCCTCTGAAGTAAGTTTACCTGGATTCAACACTGTTCGTGCAATATTTCAAAAAACAAGACATTCTAGATGTATAATCAAGTACACCTATGATAAATTATCATCATGCATTATTATACATCTATGATTTTAATTTGGCACAAAACAACGAAACTACTTAGTTTTGATAAATTACAGCAAATAGTAAATAGTAATCAAATCATAAAAAGTTAATTTATTTAATGTAATTATATTAATAAATATTTTATATACTTTAATGTGCTACTTATATTTAAAAATCCAAATATTTCTCCTCATCCCTTTTAAAGTGAACAATATACAGGTGATCGGTTCATCATAAACCAAACCATTACTCACAAAATAAATACAGTAATTGAAAAAAAATTTAGTTTTTTTTAGTTACACATATTTCTTGATTTATAAACTATTAATAACTTTAAAATCACCCCTTGTTACTTAATACAACTTTATTTTATAGATAGCAAAATTCATAAGTAAATAGCTTCTAAAATAGAAAATAATCTGATTAAGAAAATAGCTGATCCATAACAACTTATGAACCAGTATTTCAGAAGTTATTAACAACAGTTATTATACTGTAGGTGAGGAATAAGTGCAGCTAATTTTATCATTAGTAATTTCTCAGCTTACNATTTAAAGATAGTACTGTAGGTGAGGAATAAGTGCAGCTAATTTTATCATTAGTAATTTCTCAGCTTACTCATCCTCCCGTGAAGGTAAAAAATGAAAATATCTTACAAAGTACTGGTTCATAAATTGTTATCGACCAGCTATTTTCTTAATTGGAATATTTTCTATTTAATAAGCTAGTTAAATATGAATTTTCCTATTTAAAAAATAAATTTGTATTAAGTAATAAGGGACGATTCTAAAGTCATTAATATATGATAAATCAAAAAATATATGTAACTAAAAAAATCAATTTTTTTTTATCATCCTGTATAATAAAGATACTTGGAAGATGTCAAAAATATTTTTTTGGATTAGTTAATTTTTATGTGCTAAAAATTAACGAACCTTTTATCAACTAATATAGTGTTAATATTTTTTTGTTATTGTGTCATTTTGATAGTCAACAAAAACACAAATGCAAATAAATTGTCAATTCTCTTGTTATTCGTTAAATATTTTTTCGTCGCTGTTTTTGTGAAAATAACATAATAAAATTAAAAATTATTGTACCGATTTCATAAATTGAACTCATTATAGATTATTTTTAAATATTAAAAGAAAATATGACTACTAATGGACATCAATAAATTTAATTAATCGTAGAGAACAAGTTTAATTGACTTAAATTAAGGTGTTTAAGTGTTAAAGAATTGCAGATAAGGTATTCAAAATAGTAAAAATGTGTGGGATAAATAAATAGATTTTGTTAACAATAAAATATCATTAACAGCAGACACTTTTAGGTACTACTATTGTAATTTAAATACTTAATTAATGTCCAGAAACACATCAATAAGAAGACGTTTGTTTCTCTACATTTTTATTCTAATTCTTTGTTTTTTATTAATTTTTGTGAATCAAAACACACTATACCTTAGTTATGACATAAGTTTTGCAACACACACATTCGCATTGATAAGTTTACTATAACATTACGTATCAATAGATCTAAATAAGAATTAGTCTAGTTTACTTAAGATTAATTTTTATTAGAACATGGTCGAAGGAGTACTCACGATTGTTCTGTCAGATAACCGTTACTTATGCCAAAGATTAAATAGTGTCCTCAACAAACTATCCTTTGGATTACTAAAACCTCAACGAAAAAGTATCTTTATTAGTTATACCCAAAACCATTTTATACTTAGAAGTTAATGGTGAGTAAAATGAAAATTTTATATCTTGCTGTAATCACATACATGAGAATGTAGAGGATATTAAGAAACAAACACAATAACGAAGAAATAATTTATATAAAACACTCAGTAGTTGTCTTTTTTCGTTAAGGAATCATTTTACTATTAAAAGTAAGATTAACCAAGTTAAAATAAACGATTTCTTCTTTTAAGTATTCAGATAAGTGAATAATGAGGGAACATTTCTAAGGACGATAATTTATAATAAACCCGATGTACATTTTACATCATTTTATTCTAGTAAATTATATTTCCTCTTGAGATGTTTGTAAAAATAATCATTATCATTAATTTTAGCTGTGATTTTATGTATGACAAAACTTGAAAAACATAAATGAATAAGATTGAGTTCATAGATTCAACCACAGTCACATCCATAGATTGATAGTTGTTTTCTCATTAAAATTAAATTATATAAACTAGACCTATTTCCAGAGGCGCAATTAGAAATGTATGGGGGAAAGGGGTCAAAGATAAATATTATTACGGATAAGGTAGGTACACATCATACATTTAAATAACCTTTTTATTAAGATCGTTACATAAAAATTAAAAAAAGAACATAAAAAACACGTCTCATGTGGTATTTTTTGAGCTCCTTTTTCAAATATACTGTATTATAAGATAAATACAGAGTGATTATTTAAACGTTAACCACCAGATTTCTCGTAAAATAATATTTTAGGAAAATTAAACATGGTATTATGTAGTTTCATATATTTAATTATGTGTCAGTTATTAATTACTTTTTTAATTTATTTCTTATACCTTATAAATGTCAGGTTTATTGTATAAATTAGTTAAATTTTTATGTTGACTTTTAAAAAATAAAGTTCACGCTTATAAGGTGTGACAAATGATTAAAAAGGTAATTAACAACTGATAAATTAAGAAATACAAGAAAACAAATATTAAAAATAATTTTCTGAGCAAAATCTAATAGTCAATTGTTAAAAATTAAATTTTTCACCATACAAGTATATTTTATTAATTTTATAAAATAGTTAGTATGTAAAAAATGTCTATTTTAACATTGTTTTTATGTGTGTAATATAGTTTTAAAATATACATAAATCAATTATAGAAAAGTCTTTTGTCTCTCATGAAAAATTAAGGAAAACTGGACATCAGTTCTCTTTAACAAATGACTATTCAATTAATATTTTAAAAGAAATCGTATGATTATCATTGAAAAAATATCACTTTGTATATACTTGAAATCGTATTGAGAAGTTCTATTTTTCAACAAAACAAAATTTTAAAAAGCAACATAGTCATAATCGTGTATAAATAAAATTAATATAATAAAACATAATTAATAAATAAGTTTTAAAATTAAAAAAATCAGTAATTTTTGTGTTTTAATTTTAGTTTTGGTGCGAAGCTAAGAAAGTATTGATTTTGTGATGATGTGTATATTTTTATGCAAATTCTTAGCTTTCACTGAAATGAATTTAATGGTCAATACGTCAAGAGAACTTGATTTTAATCTAGTTGAACTTGTAAGCACAAAAAATTTGAAAAACATCTCATTTTTCAAAGTTGTAAAAAATAGCATTTTTAAAATTTTTTTCTGCATTTTAAAACTGATGTAATTCTTTTTTAATATACTTTTTCTGAAAATATCAAACTACCTACTAAATTACTGCTATATAAACTACTACTCAGGCCCATCTGGTCCTACGGTTTGCAACTTTGGGGCTCAGCCAAAGTATCAAATACAAACCGTATACAAAGGTTCCAATCCAAAGTCCTTCGCGTCATCTCCAAAGCTCCCTTCTATGTTTCAAATGATACCCTTCATTCCGACTTCAATTTACCCACAGTCACTGAACTAGCCAAGCTCCACTACAAACGATTCAATAACAAGTTAACACATCATTCCAATCCCCTTATTGTCCAACTATCATCTGCAACTATTCCAGGAAATCCCCACAAAAGATTAAAAAGACAGTGGTGTCGTGACCTACTTTTATAATTTAAAAAAAAAAGTATATGTATCAATCCAATTATTATCACTATTATTAATATTATGTTAGGACTAATACCTTAAATTTAAATTAATATTCATGTTGAAGTACCTCCGATGGGAGGTCTCTTCACTCAGTCTCTTCTGTCTGTTTTTTCTTTTTATGTTATCACTTAAGCTTATTGTTCAATATTGTAACAGATAGCGTAATAATTAAAATTTTGTTAAAAAAAAAAAAAAAAACTTTTTCTGAATATCCTATAAAAAAACTTAAGTATAGAAAAAGTTTGAATAAGACGCATGTAACATTTTTTTTCAACTTGATTTTTTAATATGTTTTGGAAATCTGACAACTAGGTAAAACTTACATAAAATTAAGTTTTTAAGTGTACTACAATATTAAAAAAAATTGTCCCGAAAATTGTTGCACTATGTCAAATTAACCGTCAAAACAAAACATTGTTAAAATAATTAGTAGTAAAATATAATTTACAAAAAAAAAAAATATATGTATATATATGTATGTATATTTTATATAAATGATAGAATAACAAGTATAATATATTAATATAAGTAAAGAACAATTATCTTTTAAAAACGTTTATTGTTATTTTAAAACTACTCAATACTAGGTATAGTATTACATTAAACTCAATTAAATAATGCGAAAATTTCATAAGAAATTTACCCAACAAAATTATTAAAGTATTCTCATATATAGAAAAAAACTTTAAGTTTTTACTCTGTGCAATTTTCAGTGTTTTTTTTTTTTATAACTAAGATATGTCACGAGAAATGGTGATGTGCCATTCGCATAGTCTAGAAAATAAATATTTAAATATAATACGTTTGATGCTTCACGAGTATACTTTGAATAAAAGAAAAACACAAATATCCTTTCTAAGTGACACAGTGGCAGGGACAGAGTCTTTTTACATAGCGCCGCATTCTCTGAGTACTCTATTCCCCAAAGGTAATGGCGGCCGATAGTTGTTCACTAGCTGAGGGCCGCCGTGTGGTTCGGAGCATTCTTCAGGTGTTTTCATCCGCATGCTCCGAAATGCATTCAACTGCAAAAAATTAACCAACATTTAATTATTCAATATTTCCCGCCAAAAAAAATAACTATTAATTAGATACTAATGTGATAATTTCTTGCAAATTTTAATAATAATATTTTATATTATGGGTATAAATGAGTTTAATCAACTTTTTACCATTACAATTTATTTTCTCAAAATTTATGTTGCATTAACAAAAAAATTTTAACATATCGTTTCTCTTTTTACTACCGTATACTTGGGAAAACATTTAATCTGATTCAACATCCTTCCAATAAAAGACTCTTAATATTCTACACACGAACTAGAATAAATCAAATGTGTTTCTACTATTATTCCGAACGGCTTTCAACTGTTCAACTTATAAACAGAAACACTCATATGATTTGTCTTAGACTAACACATTGGATCCATCTTCAAAAGTAAAGTTACTATTTAGTTATTTATTATTCATTTTCAAGTCATGAAAACGAACCATTGAGTTGTTAAAAAAGTCGTTCAAATCATATGGACATTTCAGTAAACTAATCGAATATCATTAAAATTTACAAAAACTTTATCACATCTAATTTTAATTAATTTTTAAATACAACATAAATAGTAGAAAAAAAATTGTTATAACTTTCTTGCCATATTTATTTAAATAAAACCTTATGTCACACATATTTTCAAACAAAATCATTCTACAGAAACGTTTATAATTTTTCAAATGAGTACGTAAATTTTTTAAAAAATAATTATAAATATCACGATTCCCTAAGATCAGAATTAGATATCATATTTGCAACGTATATTATCCTGTCGAATATTATATATTTAATTTTAGAGGTACTTTCAAATTTTTTATAAACACCTTGCTTGACTTCGTTATTTAATTTAGCAACTACTTATTTACAATTAACTACTAAAGCCATCTACATTGTTAAAAACAATCGACAAAAAGAACTACCTTTTTCAAACATTTTCATAATTGGCAGTAGTTAACGGTAATTTTGCTATAGTAAATGGAAACTATTTGTTAGAATTATGAATGTTAATTTTTTTAGTTGTGAAACTACACAAAAGCATTATTATAATAAAAAACGACAACGCTGTTGACGCATTCGTTGAAAGCTGTACAAATAATGAGTCATAGGTTCGACAATACTGACTACAACAAGTTTAGAAATAATCTAAAAAATTTGTCTAGCTAAACATAAACAATATACTAAGTACTACACTATTAGAAAATATGAATTTATGATAAAATAATTAGCTGTTGTTTTTATTATCTCATTAAAACAAGCAATCTCATCAAACAACTATTTTTAATTGTGTTCTAAAGACATAAAACTTGACAATTCGATAATATGTTGAGATTAATTTGTCTCTTAAAATGCTTGACTAAATAAAATACTCAATATCAACAACATAATAATAAATATTTAATAAGTATAGTAATACTAAAAACTATTTCGTTTAGTACTGGCAGTTCTGGCGCAGTAGCGGCTACTATTACTGGACCGGCATACGTCTGAGGTGACAACTAGTGACGGCCACTACCGAATGAATACTACCGTACTGTTCCATAGTCTAAAACTATCGGTTCACTCGGTCGTTTTCAAAAACTTCCAACGAAAATAAATGCTTTTCGACAGCATTTAGTCATGAAACAATCGACACCGCACTGCCGACTGTCCAATGTTACCGCGAATGAGGGACGGCCTGGAGGAAATTTCTGGACGGAATATAATTTTGTTCGGCCACATTTTACCCGATAACATTTCTGGCATTGCAGGCCATTTTATCTATAAAAATCTATCGGCACTTTCTCCCTGTAGGCCGTGGACCGTCCCTGTCATTAGTGATATGATTACTAACCATTCGGCATACTGTGCGTGTTACAACAACTAAGAGAAACAACAAGTATCTCACTTGAACAAAAGTTTGCATGGCTCAACACTTTTGACTATCAGGTAAAATGTACGGTAATTTTAATTTGAATGAAACTACCGAATATTTCATTCGGTAGTTTAATAGTTTAAAACTAGTCAAAGGTAAAAAAACAATCTAATGATTGTTATTAAAATCAAAAAAACCTATCGGATAGTCAAAACTATTTGACAGTGCTCGTGACTAATGATGAGGTTATTGCCGGTTTTTTTAACATTTTCTTGACAAATATTTTGCTGACTTTACAACTCTGTGTACAAGAACAATGTGTTGTTTCCGGTTTTTTCATTCGAATCCAAAGAAACCATTCTTTATTAAATTAAAGGTACAATCCAAATTTTAACGTATGTACATCATCTATTTTTCAGGATAGTTATTAACAATTTTATATTTCCACGACGATCAATTAATTGCAATTAATGTATAACGACATTATTGAAGTGCAAAATACAAACATTCGTTGATTGTCATTTTCGGGTTCGCTAGAGAAAACATTTTTACTTAGACACATATATTGTCAGAAACCTTAAAACTCCATTTTCTATTTAGTTTACAACAAGCTAGTGAATTGTTTGATTAACATTTTGACCTTAACATTCTATCTATACAACCTTAAGACCAAAAATTTTTAATTAAAATTCAAAACTATTTTTCACAAAATTTAAAATCAATCACAAATAGTAACACAACCTTGCTAGCATAAAAGCCTCATACGGTACACATTGCTACTCATTAGTACAAACACACGTGCGCACGCATTAATTTTTTTTTAATTTCTCTTAAATATTTTTAAGTATTATTTAATACACATTAATTCATAAGGACACATTTCTTTTACAATACTTTTGGTTACAAAGCTTTACAATCGTTTTTGTCATCTTACCCCAACCCATTCGTACTTAATTAAAACAAATAATTAAAAACTATATTGAATCTAAAATGAAAAAGTATAAATGTTTTTAAGAATGTATATAAATAATACGTTATTCAATGCAAAAAGAAAAAATCACAAATCCTCATCAACTTAAAACGAACAACACTAAGGAATACAATCAAAAATTATTACTCTAAATTAAACTTTCTAGATTTTTCTGATTTATGTCAACTTGAAATTTAATGATTAGAAAACTATTTTTAATGGATACAAAAAGACTTTAAAATTATAAAGAAAAATTAGAGCCAAGGATCTTAAAGAGGAAATTTCATAGTTCTCTAATCGTTCTCAATAGTTGAATAATAGTTTGATTTATGAGTACTTAATTGAAAATAAACGTTTATCATTGCATAAATTTTCATTAAAACTTATGTAATGATAAACCATGACCTTGATTCATCAATATAATAAAATGTTATCATCAAAGATAACTAATAAAATTGCATCCTCTTTTATTTTAGATACTCACAATATTGATTTATTTTTAACAAATGAAATTGTTATTAGTAAATAATACATCTGTATATAGACATGAACGATTTTAATTGTTTTTTTTTCGTTGTTTTCAAAGTAAAAATATGAAAGGATTAGTTATACTAGTTACACGAAACTATTTGAAATAAATTTATAATAATTTATAATAAGATTTAAAAATTATATGAAGAAAATTAAAAATTATCATAGGTAATTTTACTTCAAACATTCAAAACATTATTGGACAATGGTCGATATTCAAGAGTTGGCGATTTCCTAAATTGAATATTAATTTAGATAATTATAATCACCTGTCTTTCGGATACTTCGATGGGCTTCTTAAACATAATCCATGTGACGCATTCGGAACACGGTGGAGTCGTCAAAGACCCATGGTAAGTCCAATAAGTAATATCCTCTGAAAGTGAAGTATGCAAACAATATTACGCAAAGGAATATTGGCGAGTAACAGTGTTCATGTGTATGATGTGTGGTAGAAACCTGGGTGAATTATAGATACTATTTTTAAGTTAAAAAATTTAAAGCCAATAATCCCTACGCAAAATAAATATGGTACACTTGTATAGCTTACATGTCGGCCGCACACGAATTATAATAAATCAATGATTGTGTAGTAGTTGTACAATGAATGTCAAAGGGCATTAAAAAATGGCTAAACACTTACCGGGCAACAATGCAGCCGGGTCGATGGCGTTGGTAATCGGAGCCGACTGGTTGCGTAGAGCTACTTGAGGTATAAGCGAAACGATTTTTTCCAACTCTTGGTGGCATTTCTCGCCAGCCTAAAAAATACATCTGGTGAATTAATAACAATGATAAAACTATTTAAGATTAGACACTGCTTTAGAAGAAGAATATAGGAAGTAAAAAATAATAATACAGAAAAACAGAATTAGATATATTATCCTATTAAATGGAAATTATTGTCGGGCTGAAACGAGTGCGCGACTGTATAAAAGTTCAATGCGGCTGCCGACAAGATATACTGTAGTACTCACGCGGGGTCATCACTTGGAATTACCGTTCTGCATCATGGGAAGTTCTCCCGAGATACTCTCACTTTATTCAGAGAGGACCTGACTAAAATTTCTAAATATTTCAACCAGGTAGGACCAGTATAAAACAAGACGTGTACAAGCGATTAAGAGATTAATCATTTCGATTAATCTCGCATTTTGCATGTTGCTCTCGATCCGGTGTTTCAATGGTTTATTATCAACACTAATAAAAATTAACAAAATATAACAATTTTTTTTTTTTTAGATTTATATAAATGAACAGATAATTATGTACCAGATCTATTCCAAACTCTTTAATATCATTACTATTTATAACGCTCGACTTAATTATTGTCATTGCTATTGTCTTTTATAAAAAAAATTATCCACGGCTGAATTAAATCTGCACATAAATAGATGCCCATTTTACAAATCAACGTTGCCACATATTTATTATTATTTTAAACAAATCACTCTCGTAATAGAATTATCACACGTGAAAATATTTTTCGTACCTTCAAAAAGACTCCTACAACAGCTAGACCGTCTGGATGGTCAATGGCTTCGGAGAACGAATTATATTTGTCACAATTCCAATGGACCAAATGCAGCTGAAAAAACCAAATAAACAAATAGAAACTCACCAATGTATCCATAAAGATTTCGAGAAACATGGTGTTGAGTAAGTAACGTTTGTAAAATGTTTAATTCTAGTAAATATTAAATAAAATTCTTTAACATCATTAAACTTTATCGTTAAAAAATATATGAATAATATATTATCCGTGCAGTGTATATAAGACAGTTAAAAACACCATCTATAATCAATCGGTCACAATAAAGTTTTACATTTCTCAAAAAAAATATCAATCAATCCATAAACATCGTATTATTGCGTCTATAAAATAATAAATCTGAAAATACATTTAAAAAATTGTACTGAAGAAAAATAATTAGCACTGTCAAGGTTAAACACATCAGAACTGTGAATAATTTATATTATACTTCAGATGCGAAAAATAAATAATAATTCATTTTCTGAAGATTCAGACCCCCTTATAGATGACCTTGGTAAACATAATCCCATATTCGAATAAATTATTGAAGTATTCTTAAAAACATTCCAAATTACTCAGTAATAATTGTTGGCGAGTTTCCTTATTTGAATGTATATTAAATAGAAAACAATTACTATTTTATTTATTTATTTTTTTTTACTGAAATACATCAAAATCATTACCCAATTTAATTACAGTAGGTAACCAAAAAAATAATATGAACATTAATATATGTTAAAAAAATATATATAAAATAGAAAATAATATCCTAAAAAAATAAACCTTAATTAGAAAATGAACCTTCTATCAGTTGTTGAAATCTAGAGCTCTTCGTGGTTACAGTAGAAGTTTTTAATAAAAAATTGTTCTATTGTAATTTTAAGTTTCAACTGATTTTACTTACTTCACCAGCGTAAGGTATTCCATCAACCGTGTGTTCAGATCCTTTTGTGCTCGTACAACCCCAATGGCAATGGAATTGTTCTAATTTGTACTTCTGTCCAAGTGGACCACCGGAAAGTTCTGGAATCATACATATATCACTCAAAAAAAAAAATTAATTTATATAAAATTCTTTGAAACCCATTGATAAAAGAGAGAGCATGTGATTAAATAATTCTATTATTATATTAAAAATGAAAAATTTAGTACAAACTGTTGTTTTAACAGTCGGCTACATCAAACAATGAGATTTTATACAAAATTTATTTCTGATTAAGTTAAAAGTATCAATAATATATATTTATTACTTGTGAAAAAAAATATATATATATTTAATCTAATATTAGTAAATGATTGAACAATATCAGAAAGCAGATTATGAAGAGCGCGTAAAAAAGTCTACAATACATTATCGGTTAAAATAAAAAATGTATTATTCATACCAGATCCATTTCCTTCGTCAAATACTTGTACTTTCCACCCAAATCCATTATTGTCAATAGTTTTGCATATTTCCGAACTGTAGTTCCAAAACAGAGGCTTACACTGAAGAGTCGTGTCAGTTGTGGCCTTGGATGTTTCGATGTTAACAGGCGATTGTAGAGAACCTGCAGCTTGCGGGAAAAATTTTGGCCAGACCGATGGTCCTTAAAAAACAAAACGAATTTATAGTTGTAAATTTCAATTATAGAAAAACGAAAATTATTTTTGAAACCCATCATTAGTTTTATTACTATATTGACTTTGATATAGTTTCGTGTATTCCAAATAAATAAAAATTATAATAACATTAGATATAATAAACACCTTATACAAACGAATGTGTGAGGTGTTTGCATTTTTGTGTATATGAGATATAAAACAATTCTTTAGGTTTGTCACAACCTACTGAGACACGACTTTTCTATCCAATTCATTTCTAATTTTCAAAATAAAAATAATTTCAATTGCACAAAAATCATCAACTTTAGAAGCATCCTACATAATGAAATATCTGTATTTTTAACACTTAGAGAAAATACAATTTTTTTTTTTATTTTACTATAATAATTCATAAATGAATACTCATAATAATAAATCAACGTCTAGTAGTAAAACTATTCGAACATTTGATATGATTTGGTACTTAATATAATATTTAATACATGTATAATATTTTTAATAAAAAAAGTAATATGAATATGATTTTTTTATTTAAAAAAAATGTGTAACGTCAGTAAAATTAATAACATAAAAGACGAATAAGAGAAACTTGGACCAACAATTCTCTTGTTCATAAATTTTTACTTTTTTTTTAATTAATTTTAATCTTTCAACGCAACTATAGTCGTTATTAATAAAAACACCAAGTCCCAGCCGGAAGAGCCTTGACATTTTAACTCTGCCGAGTCTTAAAATGGTTTTAATTAATATTTTTTCCCGAACACAGACAAACAAATTCGACAGGAAACAAGTGTGTCAATGTTGTTTTTTTACATCATAATAACTTTATTTTTTCTATTTTTTTTTTTTTTTTTTTTGTGCAAGATAATTTAGGAGAAATATGAACAAGTATTCCAGAAAAAATATAAATAATTAGATACTTTGCAAAGAAATTTGTTTAACTTGAGACATTTTGACGTTGAAAAATGTATATGCAATTGTCAATTCGTTTTTCGCTTTCGCCGTCATAACCGAATACAGACAAGCACATTTATTTGGTAATAGACTACTCCGAACCATTTTATTCGTCTTGTCCAGTGTAGCAAACTACCTTTTTTCTTGGCTCTTTTAACGTGGCAAACACAACCGACTAAATAAAATATTGTACGAGGCAATAGAAACTTATCACAAATAAAATTGCAAAAAAACCATACATTATTAATTGTGACATAAACAACAACATCGTAAATATTTCAGAGTTATTATTATGCATTCAGTAACACGTCTTGTTAATTTATTTTTTAACTAGATAGGTACAGTTCATAGGCGCAATTTGCACAAGATGTTCAACTTAGTTCTTCACTCCTTAACAGTATTTCAACATAAATTTACGTGTAATTTTCATAATTTTTGAAGGGATTTAGACATAACTAAAGGGGCTAAGTACTCCTAAACCCACCAGATTGCGCTTATGGTAAAGTTACAGTTTTAAACCCTAATATATTATAAACGTTTGTATTATTATTAACCGACGAATCATTTATAGAAGTTTATTGGGTATTATTGATGTGGACGATATTCACGAATGGGTCCAAAAACGTATACAAATAATTTAATTTGCCTATGGACATAGATAACTTCACCTATATTTCGAAATACAACAATTAAAGAAGAGTCCAATTCATTCGAAAATAACGAAATAATAGTAAACAGTTTAAAACTACTTGGAACCGGTTTCTGAAGAAGGCTAATGGCCTCGTATGTTATTATTTAGCTTTCACAGCGATTACGATGAATATTTTATTAACAATTTAATGAAACGAAAATTTGTAAACAAATAGTAAAGATAACAAAAAAATTGTATTACGACGTAGTAGTCATCTAATTTCTAATAATAATTACTGGTTATAACGAACTACTATAACAATTAACTATTTTTTTTTTAGCCTTACGCAAAAAGTAACTCGCAATAAAAATAATTAAAACAAAAAAAATGTCATAAATTAATTATGTACAAGGCGTGTCGGTTGAATCTGTCAAACGTAATGGTCGGTGTCATTGTATTGAACTTGTATGAGATGTTTGACATTAATTATCAATGGTAACCTTATTACGAATGCAATCGAAGAACATGGTTAGATAAACCCAAGTTGAAAGGTTGAATTTTTGCAAATAATTATCAGTAGGCTACATAGTAATTTGCTTTCTCGTATAAGCTGTACAGTGATTTCTTCATGAAAATATGTTTAAACTTGGTGCTAGTCTAGTCAGCAAAAATGCTAACAAAGTAGTATACTCTAGCTAATTTTGTTTTTTCAATTTCAATGATTTCGCGGTATTGTCCAATCCATTAAACGAGAAACAATTAACAAACTGATTAGAAACCATAGAACGCGCCTGATGCTTATTTGTATGAATAAACGTTAGCGTGAATTACCCAAAATTATGGAAGGCCTAATTATATTTTAGAACGACTAAAATGTGTTCGTAAACAAATTTCCTACTTGTTGTTCGTATCCCAAATGATGGATAATATTCAGCATGAATTAATTTAAACCTTCAAAAAATTTTACATGAATAATATTATTTGGGAAATGTCATCTCAGTTTATCATAACCACATTAATGTTAAAGCACGCAGAACAGTCCAAAGTAAAGAATGGGTCATTATGAAATTTGTAGCACAAAATATATGACGTGGTTAAGTAATGAACGCAACTTTAATGATATGGAGAAATTAAAAATGATTAATTTATCACGTTAGTTATATTAATATCGCAACTCGTTATGTTTTAGTTGATTAATTTTTCTCAAGCGTCTACAACGTCATTGAGTTAAGATCTTTCCTTATAAAACTATTTTGCTTCAGTGCAAATGCAGACACACAAACTTTTGTTATTTATTTAATGTTGAGCTTTATATGAACTACACATAAAACACCCAAGTTTATGTTATTTTATCTTTTAATTAAAAGTGGAAATTTGGAATAATTTTCATTTGAAATTACATGTTTGTGTACTCTCAATAATATTGTTAAGGAACTAAACAATTTAACTTATCAACGTAATCGTTTTAATTCAAATAAAAGTTTGAAATTCCAAATATTAAATAATATCAGTTAAAAACATCAAAAGGCTTTTCATAGCACAAGAAACATAACACAAGAATTTCTAATAAAAATTGATTTTATGATTTTACATTATGAATAAGAATTTTATACATACTCGTTGTATTTAAGTTTATTCAATTGATAAAAGTATTTAATGAGAATTTTTTTAGAAGTAAAATATGACTTTTTTTAAAGATTCATTAACACATTTTTAATTTTTTCTAACTATACAAGCGTAAGAATATCATATAACACAAGCAGATAACACAGGTTCGGCACCACTAAATCCCCAAGGACAATTCAAAGTTATTGTATGCGATTGTATTTTCATTATTTTTTAGTGGTTATATTGACCAAATGACAGCATAGCAACTATTATAACGAGTTTTGTTTATAATAATATTATTATGTTTTTCATTATCATTGTTTGTCTGTATTCAAAAACTCGTTGTATGAAATAATGTACATCAGCAAGTCAGAATAATTAGACAGATATTACAATATAAAATAGTTTGAGGGCATCATACGTCTGCATTCAAGGTTTTAACCCTTTTATTAATTATTTGTGCATTATATTAACTTTTTAAATGCAGACTACATTAATATCGCCAAAATTATACAAATACTAAAATTTTAATTAACTAAAAAGACAGTTGATGGTTAGTATATCTTTTAGTACAATTAATAGAAAGTTAGATATATGTTCACATTTATACTAACTAATCATAAAATTTGGGCAATTTTCAAGAGTGATATTTTAAGAGCTATTATTTAAATATATGTTAAATATATAAATAGAAATAGTTAAAAAATTATAGTCAAAAACACATATTAATAAAAAAACATTAAATTTTTCACGATGTGTAACGTAATCAACAAAATAATAAATTCTAAATAATTAAACTTAAGTTTGTTTTAGCCCACTTAATCATTACATTTTATATTAGCACTTAATATACTTTCAAATAGAGAACTCGCATTATCTTTTTGGATTTTAAGTGGGCACTCGTCACTTTCTGCCCACGAGATCAAACATAGTTTAGGATAATAATTGGTAAACCTAATTTTCCCATGCTATTTAATCTCTAAATAGTTGTTGAATTAGGTAACTATTGAATTAACTGCGCAATAAAAATCGTAACACTATTTTATTGTGACTACTATTGAAAAATTCAAAGCAATGATACGTCAGCGTTTATTTTTGAAATGTAGAGCCATCCACACAAAAATATATCAAACAAAAAAAATAATAATAACAATAACAATTTTTTTACCTAATTTTATGAGTTACAAAGTTATTTTCTGTCAGAAATTTATAAGATATACAGTTTGTAGTTATAAGGAGGAAACAGGTCAGTTGTTGCAATGTGAACAATAAAACCTCGTTTCCTTATTTAATGAACCTCTATATAAATATATATATTGACAATTTGTCAGCCAATTTTGAAAAAAATTAAATGAAAAAGTTATAAAAACTCAATTACTAGGATCAAATCAATGTGTTGATAGATTTCTTAAATTGAAATATATAAATGAATAATTTGTTGTACAATTTCAGGTTACTTAACTTTGCTGATTTCACGTTACAGAATTTACTTCGCTAATAGTTGAATAGACACTGGAAAATTTTAATTTATGCAAAAAACTGTAAAATTACTTAAAATACAAGAAATTTAAAAATTAATAAAAAAGTTTTGACCATCAGCAGATATAAGTTATACCAAATTATACTGTATTGTGCATCTAAAACAAAAACTACCATGAACAAAATAAAATATTTAATTATAATATTTTATTTATTTTGAAAATTCATACAATAAAAAATATTGTTTAATGAAGTATCAATATTTCATCATGAACTTCTAACACTAACTTCTTCTTTGTAATACATAAATTT